TCTAAGAACCTCTGCTGCATTGCTTCCTGCCGTTCGATCAGCTGATTCATTAGTTTCTCAAAGAAAGCTATCATTTTTCCATTCCCGTACGACCATCCTTCCCGCTTCCTCTTCCTTCCGCCGTACGGAAGCTTGTCGGCGCAGCCGTAATCGGTGTTTTCAACATCAGAATCGGATGAGGAAGAAGAGGATGTGTCGGAAGAAAAACTGATGCCGGCGTGAGCGGTCGTTGGCGGCGGGTGCCGTGGAACCGCTACAGTTAATGCCATTAAATTTCTGTAGGGAGCAGAGGGATCGGAAGTTAGAGGTGGGAAGGGGTTTATATTGAACGCCGGAGAAATTGACGGGACGGCGATGGCGGGGTGGTGGTGGTGCTGTGGAGAGCTTCAAGTTGGGTGAAGAAGCCGTAGCTCTTGCCGTCCTGGCGGCCGACACGGCCTTCTTTGTTAGTATTTGTGAATGTTTTCGAACTTCTCCTTGCATTTCTTTGCGCTCCTTGTGTAGCCCAGTTCAGCGAGCTTCCTGAATGCCTGCCATGATCGAAGCTAGTGTGAGGAACCGCGGAATAAGGGAAGGAATAAGAGGGAGAAAAAGTAGATTTTTTCTTATATATAAAGATATTAGTTTTAATAAGATATAGGCATGAATTTAAGATAAATTCAACTAAATATTAAAAAAATAAAATAAAATTTAATGTTCTGTTAAATCAAAATTCAAAATATATTGCACGTCTATTTTATCTATGTTTCTCATATTCAGTCTATTCTACGACGTTCTGTCTATTCTAGGACACAAGTCTAAATTGGTGGATTTAAGGGATTTATCATTTCATTGCTCTCAAGCTCCATCTTCATCACTCAAGATTTGATAAATCCAAATTTATTGTATTTGACAAATATTCTATTTAACGAAAAATTAGATTTTTGATAATATTTATAAGTCTTAATTTGATAATATATCCTACTACTGATTTTACTTAAAATAAAGTGAAAATTTCTAAATATTTTTTAAATAAAGAACTGAAATTTTCTAAATTTTTTATGAAATAAATTTTAATAGTTTCAAATGTAAATTTAGAATATTTATGAGATCATTTCCTTTGCTTTATTGATTATTCTCTAGAAAAAGTAAAGGAATATCATAACAATTTTGCAATATACTTTAATCAAAATTAAAGTTATTCCACTTTAATCCTTTTTTTTTTGCTTAAAAATTTTTTCCAAGGAAATATGAGATTAAGACATATAGCATCTTAAGGCACCAATTATATCATAATTATATCCAAAACCGCAAGATAATATAAAAAAAATTATAAGAAAATAACATAAATATATACATAAAAAGAGCTGTGAAGGCAGATGCAGAATCAGCAATGTAAAGATGAAGCAAAAAAAAACGAATTTTTCATGAAAATCCCTTGGTGAAAATTTATGAAATATATTCAAAATAATGCATCAATTTCTTTTTTCAATCTATTTTTATTAAAAAAAACAGAATTTTTGCCCAATGAAAGAGAAAAAAAACAATCTTGCAAGTAATTGTTTATTAAAATAAAAAATTAGTTTGAATAATTCTTATAATGTCTTAATTAAATATTTATTTAAGTATTATTATAAATTTTAGACCTTCCCAAGAAAAAAAAAGAGAAATTTTAATGTAAAATGTACTTAAGGATAATTTAGTAGATCCATAAATCTATCTTAAGTTTTATCCATTTTCCTTGGAATCAACAAAAGAGACATCAATTTGGGAACTTGGTGCCGTTCGGGATCAACGCAACAGCTTTTAAAGGCCGCACCTTTCTTTCTTGATATTTGAGCGAAATAGGGAAATATTGCCTCAAGAGAGAGAGAGATAGATGAAAGTGGCAGGCAAAAATGACTTGATTTTTGTTTTAGAGAAGCAATTCTTCTTCTTCTTCTTCTTCTTTTTCAGTAAATTAAACAATCATTAAAACTAAATGGTGGACGATCCATGGTGAGGTTGAATCATCGCAGACCATGGTTTTATGCACCAACCATGCACCAATGCGTAAAGATAGATGTCTTGAGCTATGAAACACTATGAATGAATAGTAAATAGTCCAGAGTTATTCAATTGGACATGCTACACATGTGACATAAAAAATTGAATTCATTAGTGTTCTATAAAAAAATATCATAAATGAGTTTGATGAATCAAACTCAGTTGACATCCACTCTATTAAAGCATAATCGATAATATATTAAAACACGTGAAATGATTTACTAAATATATTATTAAGAAATAAATGACATTAAGTCATAAGGCCTCAATGGTACTATAATCCAACTTTTTTCAAGATCTTGGTCTGAAGCTTGCACTACTTGATTTGCAGTAGGTCGGATATTCTTTATGTTGTTGGACTCGTTAGCTGTTAAACAGAGGTTCCATTTACTACTCACTACCAAGAGGATTCTTCATTATACGAAGGTGTGATTGACTTTAACTTATTATTTTCATCAACAAAGGATTTTAAACTTATCAGATATAGTGATAGTGACTGGGCCAGAGGCTTGGATGAAAGAAAAAACACTATACGGTCTATGCTCTACATGAGAGGCACTGTTTACTTGGATGTCAAAGGAGCAACCAATCTTCACTCTTTTTACTAGTGAAGCTGGGTATGTTGCTGCAACTTCTTTTGTCTGTCATGCAATTTGGCTCCAAAATTTGTTGAATGTGTTAAGATTGCTAAAAGAAGAGCTCACAAACATTTGTGGCGATAATAAGTTAGCTATCATTTTGGCAAGAATCATGTGTTTCATGATGTAAGTAAACATATCGACACACGCTAGCACTTCATTAGAGTGCATCACAAGATAGAATGTGCAAATGAAGTGTAAAAACTTATGATTAGGTCGCTGATATTTTTATTAAGCCGCTTAAGTATGGAGATTTTATCAAGATAAGAAGATTGCTCAAGATAATAAATCAAGTTTAAGAGGGGTGTTGAAAAATTAAATTTGATTTTTTACCCGTATAAATTTGCGCTTTAATTGTGCCCATAATCTACAATGGACTTTGAAAAATTCTAGAGACTTATTTTCTAAAAATAATATTATAGGATTCTAGAGATGTATTTTAATGGAATGATTTGTAAAACTATAATATGTAATTAAGGACATGTAACTAAGATAGAAGAATATTCTAGAAAATCATATAATTGAAATGTGTTGGCACAATCTTAAGAGGGATGTCACTAAATAAATAGGCGTAGCATGTTTGAATTTTGTACTAAGAGTAAACTAAATATGAGCCTTTTAACTTGTGTTCCTCTTCTTTCTCATCATTTTCCTCTTATAATTATCCTTTATTTCCAACCAAGAGATTCAGATATAAAGTAACAAGAACACATCGCATCCGACCCCCCTTCCTCCCCTTTCATCCTATTATTTCCCTTATACTGATGCTCGTGGGGCAACGGTAACCTAGATGCAAGCTTCACATTTCAGCACACAAATATGTTTTAACCAGCTTGGCTATAAAAGAAAAAATCCCCATCTTCCTTGAAAATTTTCAGCTCTTTGCTAAGCTTATTTCCGCCCTTTGATGTGACACATTATTCCCTTCAGTGTGGTGGCATCCACTCAATTGGCTTGGAACCATCCTTATTCCCATAACAAATCATGGTAGAAAAACTTCGCCTTTTCAGAAGCCGAAGTCCTAGTTTAATAGGAAGACGACGAAGATGCAGAGATGATAGAGGAATGCATCATCACTGAACCATGGCGAGAAAAGAAGCAGCATTTGACGATGGAGGCACCGAAGCCGGCGCCTTTCTTACAACATTTCCACCATTACCTACATATCCCACGCTTTGTCTCTGAAACAGGATCTCATACCTGAGCTTACCGTCCTCCTCCTCATCCTCATCATCATACTCATCATCATCAACAACATCATCCTCCTCCTCCGCCTCCTCCTCCTGATTCTGTAGTTCCATCAGTTCCTTAACGATGTCTTCTGGCTTCATTAGAAAAGAAAAAAAAAATTAATTCAATCTATACTGCTAGCTTCTGAATGTATAAAAACAGGACTACTGCAATGATAGCCTAATCTATTACCTTCTTCAATGGAACCTCCCTCCCAAAGAAAATCTGAGAATGTCTATTAGCGTTGCTTCTCGGCATTTGGAAGCTAGTACTCTCCACATTGTTTCTCACTGTGATTAAATTTTTATTTTCACCATTATTGCTCTCTTGTTCCACTGATACAGAGATTGGCTGCTCTGTATTAGTAGCAGTCTCCTATTGTTGCTTCCTGCGATAAAGTGCATCTAGTTCATGGAAGTAAGGGCAAGTCTTGGCGTCCTCCGGGCGCTTCTTGTTCCCCTCTTTCACTTTCTTGAAGTACTTGTTAATATTCTCCCACTTCTCCTTACACCTTTTGGGGCTTCTGTTGTATCCCAACCGCTTCATTCCCATGGATATGTCCTCCCAAAATGGCCCCTTTGGCCCTGTCTCCAGGTACCTCACCTCTAACCCGCTGCGCAACTTGATTAGTGCCAGAACCTCTGTTTTTGGCCACCTTGATGGCGGCGAATTAGACTTCGGCGACGGCATCGAAACTCCCATAACCTCCGGCGCCATCTCTGCATTTGAAGCAGCTGGATCTGACGATGCTGAAGCCTGGTGGATTACAATCTCATTGACTTGGTGGCTTCTCTGGCCCTCCGGCTGATCTTCTTGCGAAACTTCAGGAGGTGCAGGGGCAGAGAATGTTGTAGCTTCTATCAATGCATCCTGCTGATTAGTTACGGTTAAGCCGGCGCCGGCGAACCTCTGCAAAAAGGAGATAACTGCGGCATCACGATTAGCCGTCATGGTGCGCTCCTGCACCATAAGCTCATACTCACGGTTAAGCCGAGCCATCTCCTGGCGTTTCCATGCCTCCTCCCTCGCCATCCGATCCTGCTCGCGCTTCTCGATCGTATCTAAGAACCTCTGCTGCATTGCTTCCTGCCGTTCAATCAGCTGCTTCATTAGTTTCTCAAAGAAAGCTATCGTTTTTCCATTCCCGTACGGCCATCCTTCCCGCTTCCTCTTCCTTCCGCCGTCCGGAAGCTCGCCGGCGCCGCCGTAATCGTTGTTTTCAGCATCGGAATCGGATGATGAAGAAGAGGATGTGTCGGAAGAAAAACTGATGCCTGCGTGAGCGGTCGTTGGCGGCGGCTGCGCTGTATCGACGGCAGTTAATGCCATTAAATCTCCGGAGGGAGCAGAGGGATTGGAAGTTAGAGGCGGGAAGGGGTTTATATTGGTCGCCGGAGAGAATGATGGGACGGCGGTGTTGGTGGTGCTGTGGAGAGCTTCAAGTTGGGTGAAGAAGCGGTAGCTCTTGCCGTCCTGCCGGCCGGCGCGGCCTTCTTTGGTGCGCTTGTAGTATTTGTGAACGTTTTCGAACTTCTCCTTGCATTTCTTTGCGCTCCTTGTGTAGCCCAGTTCAGCGAGCTTCCTGCATGCCCACAATGATTGAAGCTAGTGTGAGGAACCGCGGAATAAAGAGAGGGACAAGAGGGGGGAAAGATTTAGGCATGTATTTAAGATAAATTCAACTAAATATTTAAAAAATAAAATAAAATTTAATGTTCTGTTAAATCAAAATTCAAAATATATTGCACGTCTATTTTATCTATGTTTCTCATATTCAGTCTATTCTACGACACAAGTCTGAATTGGTGGATTTAAAGGATTTACCATTTTATTGCTCGCAAGCTCCATCTCCATCACTTTTGATAAAACCAAATTTATTGTATTTGACAAATTCTATTTAACCAAAAATTATATTTTTGATATTATTTATAAGTCTTAATTTGATAATATATCCTACTACTAATTTTACTTAAAATAAAGTGAAAACTTCTAAATTTTTTTAAATAAAGAACTGAAATTTTCTAAATTTTTTATGAAATAAATTTTAATAATTTCAAATGTAAATTTAGAATATTTATGAGATCATTTTCTTTGCTTTATTGATATTCTCTAGAAAAAGTAAAGGAATACCATAACAAATTTGCAATATACTTTAATCCAAATTAAAGTTATTCCACTTTAATCTTATTTTTTTTGCTTAAAATTTTTTCCCAAGGAAATATGAGATTAGGACATATAGCATCTTAAGGCACCAATTATATCATAATTATATCCAAAACCGCAAGATAATATAAAAATAATTATAAAAAAATAACATAAATATATACATAAAAAGAGCTGTGAAGACTGTGAAGACAGATGCAGAATCGGTAATGCAAAGATAAAGAAAAAAAAACGAATTTTTCATGAAAATCCCTTAGTGAAAATTTATGAAATATATTCAAAATAATGCATCAAATTTTTTTTTTCAATCTATTTTTATTGAAAAAACAGACTTTTTGCCCAATGTAAGAGAAAAAAAACAATCTTGCAAGTAATTGTTTATTAAAGTAAAAATTTTGTTTAAATAATTCTTATAATGTCTTAATTAAATATTTATTTAAGTATTATTATAAATTTTAGACCTTCCCAAGAAAAAAAAAGAGAAATTTTAATGTAAAATGTACTTAAGGATAATTTAGTAGATCCATAAATCTATCTTAAGTTTTATCCATTTTCCTTGGAATCAACAAAACAGACATCAATTTGGGAACTTGGTGCCGTTCGGGATCAACGCAACAGCTTTTAAAGGCCGCACCTTTCTTTCTTGATATTTGAGCGAAATAGGGAAATATTGCCTCAAGAGAGAGAGAGATAGATGAAAGTGGCAGGCAAAAATGACTTGATTTTTGTTTTAGAGAAGCAATTCTTCTTCTTCTTCTTCTTCTTTTTCAGTAAATTAAACAATCATTAAAACTAAACCAGCAGTTGCAGAATCTGTGCTACGAAGCCGATCCCAAATTGCTAATCAGAAACTGTTAACTAAATCATTCCCTCTGAATTATTTCAATGAAAAAGACCACATTAATTCTCAACAATTGTGACCAATTTCAATGGCAATTCCTGAATTACCTCGAGACATCCTCCCACAGAGGACCTTTTAGTGTCGCATCCCGGAAAGCAGCATCCATCTCCGACCGGATCTTGAGCAGCGCAAGCGTCTCCTGCCGCGGCCACCGGCTCCCAACACCTCCTCCCCCTCCCCCCCACACCCCGGCACCAATCCCCTCCTCATCAACAAAACTCCTCCCCGCCG